TAATTGCCCTGTTCTGTTCATTCCCTCTGAAGCATAGGGCACCAGCCACTGTCAGAAAACAGGATAGTGGACTAGATGGACCATTGGTCTGGTCCAGTATGGCCATTCTTACATTCTTATATAACCAAATGGTGCATATGCAAAGATAACTTGGAAAACCAACAAAATTTTCAATAGCAAATGTAAGTTCCAACAGCAAAATACTGTATTAAGCGCTGTTAAGACTTATTCTCTCCTTGAGCCATGCCTGTGTACTGAGATTCACATCAACATTCATGAGAACAACATGGACATTGAATAATAAATGATACTTATAAATAAACAACAATAATAATATATAATACATTTAATAATAAGTAATACCCCTACTTAGCATTTTACATTTTCAAACCATTTAAATAACTTGGGGGTCAAATTCTGCTCTGCTTTGTGCCTTGTATTATCATTTACAGTTGTCTGCCCTCCTAAGATCTGGCACAGCAGCTATACTCTGCTCTCTGTATCAGCAAGATCTCTGGCCTTGTTTTCGTTAGGGAAAAAACCCAACTTTCTGTAATAAAAAAAAAAAGTTTGACAGAAATTTTTTGACTAGCCCTACTTAGAAGCATAAGTCTCAGTGAAAGCCCATGTGACTCGTGCTCCTAAGTCTCTTAGGTTCTATTGAAAATTCTACCTAATATCTCTTTTTTTCCACTAGTGTCACCCAACCTTGCATCATCCCCTACCCAAGGTTGTGACTTTATGGCACAAGCTCAATCTGAATCTAATTGGGATGTGTTGACCTAAATACTCCTTGGGTGATCTCTGCAGGAGGATGAACCTCCTATGTGACAAGTGTTACTTTCAAATTTGAAAATGTGTACAGAACAAAATCACAGAAGTCTGTCCCCTGATACTGCTGTAATGTCCAGCTACTGTAAGTTAATTGGTCTCCCAGATGCCAGTGGAAACCTACATTTGGTGAAACTTTCCTCTAGATATGCAATTTTCTCTGTTTACTAAATATAACTCATGATGGCAAGAACATGAAAATAAAGTGTTATTTATTTTGCAAGTCCTGGCTGAATAGTGTATACCTTGCATTGCTCTTAGGAAAATGCCACCATGCAATTTGATGTTAAAATGCCATTTTATTCTGGTAAGCGACCGTAGGGTTGGCACTCTGATGTTCCATTTTCACGGTCTCACAATATTTTCCATGCATGCTGTGTACAGGTAAAAAGGTATTGTTTCTGCCTGCCAGCCCTGCAAACTCAGCATGGGATCTGACAGTGAAGCTGTTCTTTCCTTCTTGTCTACCATCACGGCTAATTACGCCCAGAGTTACCCCTGTGCAACCCTTTGGGTATGTCTGCACTTGGAGCTGGGGGTGTAATTCCAAGCTTGAGGAGACCTACTTGGGCTAGTTTTAGTCAAGTTAGCACACTAAAAATAGTAGTGTAGCCATGATAGCATGGGCAGCAGGGAACCATGGGAGGAACTAGCAACCCCGCATACAAATCTGCCCAGATCCTACACGTAGTCGAGTGGCTAGCCTGAGCCGCTGCCCGTGCGACCACAGCCACATTACTATTTTTAGCATGTTAGCTCAATGAGAGCAAGAACAAGTATGTCTCCTCAAGCTGGGAATCACACCCCCAGCTCTGAGTGTAGGCATACCCTTTGTCTTCAGATTCCACCCTCAGTAACATCTGGCAACCACCGGCCTTCAGGGGGTTTGCCCAGATGTGGCTGATTGAAAATTTACAAAATATTCTACGATGAGAGAAGAAGGAAGAAAATCCAGCTCACTCTCTTTTCTTTCTGTTTGTGGTGCTCGTGCAGTTAAGAGGGAGCCCTATAATTCCTTAAGGTATAGTGCTAGAGAGAGATAAAGATGGATCTAATTCCTCAGTTAGAGTTGACTGAATTGTATAGAATAAATTATTAATTACCAATCCGTTGACCAGCTTTCTAGAAGCTACATTGTACCTTTAGGCTCAGCTTTGAGCAAAGGGTGGTATGTAAATTACACCCCCACAAGGAATAGCCCCTGGAACCATTGTACTTCAGACATCCCTCTGAGATACAATTCCCTTCCTGCTTTTCCCTCACTCTGAGGGGGTAGTAATTTGCTGCTATCTTATACCAACAGCAAATTATGGACACCCCTCATACCAAGCTTAGCTGCATTTGCTGGTGTGTTGGAGTGGGACCCAAAACTCAAGCCATTCCCTTCTACTAACTACCTACATACTTCAGGGGCGGGGGATGGGGGTGGGGGGCAGGGCACACTGGTGGAATGACAAATAAGCAGTTCTCTTACTCCTGTGTTCCTGGACCCAAGATTCAAGAAGGCTGTGTGTCGGCATAAACTGGCTCCGACTTCCTCTTACTCCCCTCTATATGCATGCAGACCAAGTCACAATCTATTATTTTTGTGTATTCTTTGTGCAGTAGCACCTAGGGGCCCCAGTCTTGACTCATAGATTCTCAAAGGTTATAAAGCCAGAGGAACCATTGTGATGATCTAGTCTGACCTCCTGTATAACACAGGCCAGAGAACTTCCCTGGATTAATTCCTCTTTGAACTAGATTAGAGCACATGTTTAAGAAAAACATCCAATCTTGATTTAAAAATAGACAAGGACCCTATTGTGCTAGGTGCTGTACAACCACACTGTTTGTGGAGTAAAGTACCTGAGTACCCTTCCTGGTTTTATTACTGTGTATTGGTTATTTATTTGTATAGTGCCACTATGTCCTTTCACTGAACAGTTTGACTGCATCCTCCTCCTTCAGTTACTCCACAGTGATAGTTTTCGGAGTAGCAGCCGTGTTAGTCTGTATCCGCAAAAAGAAAAGGAGGACTGTAACAGAGAGAGAAAATAAATTATTGGCAGCTATAACAAGGCTCTAATCCTGTCGCAGTGCTGTTGTGCTCTCAAACAATAACAGCAAAGGAGTCTGGGGAGTCACCAGAGCCTAGTGATTGAGTGGTAGCCCCATAAAATCAAAATTCTCTTAGTTTTTATTTTATCTAATTTGTGGATCTGACAAAATCTAGCTGAGAAAAAAATTAAATGGAAAAAAAGAAGAAAGTGCTGAACCACATCCTCCATGGTAGCTCAGGTGCATTTGATGCTTTTTATGTCTGGGGTTGCTCTGAGCTGGTCCATTCCCCCAACCCTGGTTAGAGAAGCTGGAAGGTTACTCTAATCTGCACTAGCTGACAATTTTAATAGCTCCAGCCATGACCCCTTTGACCGATCGTGCCCCCTGTTCGAGCCATAGGGAGGGAGTGCATAGGTGGCTTTTCAACACAGAAGAATCTTTACACACAGGAGAAATCACGTTCAAGAGCTGGATCCACAGGGTTTAGGGCTGTTTCCTGCCTCCGCAGTGATGTAGAGTGGCTAGAGGATGGTCCAGGATCGGTGCCAAACCATGCGCATTTGCATGTGTAGACGTCACATATTTTATGGAGATTACGTTGTTTTGCACATTTTCAAACTCAGCTCACAATGTGAATGCAGAACAAGTTTAAAGGATAATCGTTTGAATATTTTTATATTTTTCCACTATGTAATTGCAGAAATTCGGATAGTTTTCAGGTAGGTGGCATTCTTCTAGGCACAATAACAAGCATTTTGCAATGAAAGAAATTGCTGCTTCACCTTGTTTTTCAACAGATTGCACCTGTAAGAGGTAATGGTGGTGGCTGTACATCCCGCTAGATGCTGTGCTGCACTGCAGATAATGTCTCATCTTTTGCAATGTATTCAGTTGCAATGCAATGCAATGCAGTTGGATTCCCTGCATCTTGATTCATTTCAGGTGCTACAGAAATCTATGTGTTAATCATTTTTAGGGCTGTCGATTAATCACAATTAACTCACACAATTAACTCAAAAATTAATTATGATTAAAAAAATTAATTGTGATTAATCACAGTTTTAATTGCATTGTTAAACAATAGAATACCAATTGAAATTTATTAAATATTTTGGATGTTTTTCTACATTTTCATATATATTATATTCTGTGTTCTTACTTTCAGGAGCCATTGTAAACAAGAAGCCGGTAGCATTATCTCCTGCAAATGTAAACAAACTTGTATGAGCAATTGGCTGAAGAAGAAGTAGGACTGAGTGGACTTGCAGGCTCTAAAATTTTACATTGTTTTATATTTGAATGCAAGTTTTTTTGAACATAATTCTACATTTGTTAGTTCAACTTTCATGATAAAGAGATTGCACTACAGTACTCATATTAGGTGAATTGAAAAATACTATTTCTTTTGGTTTTTTACAGTGCAAATACTTGTAATCAAAAATAAATATTAAGTGAGCACTATATACTTTGTATTCTGTGTTGTAACTGAAATCAGTATATTTGAAAATGTAGAAAACATCCAAAAATATTTAAATAAATGGTATTCTATTATTGTTTAACAGTGTGATTAATCACGCTTAATTTTTTTAATCGTGCAATTAATCGTGATTAATTTTTTAATTGCTTGACTGCCCTAATAATTGCTATTTTCCCGAGATTGTTAGCTGCAGCTTCTTTTCATTATTTCAAGAAGAGTAAGTGATGAGCTAATCTATAGTACAGTTACAACTTAACATGGGAAATTAAAACAAAGACCTAAGGCTCTATGGGCACACATGGAGTACACCAAATATCTGTACTAAACAACTGTTTTCAAACCACTTCTTCCAGTTTTGTTCTGAATATCCCAGCAGATAAAGCTGTGTCTTGGGGGTGAAACATATTGAGCTTTCCACTCTGTATTAATTTCCTTTGTCATAGCGACAGGTCTCATCACTGGTCAAAAGTAGAACATGCATGCCAAAGACAGCAAAATACTAAGCAGTGATCATTTCCTTCACCCAGGTTACTGTTCAGCAGTTCAGAATTCTTTTTAACATGAACATGGAGACAGAGGAATGAGAACAGCATGAATAAGAAGCCAGAGTTGCCTTAATATAAGGCTGTTCTTAATTCTCATACCGTATGAGCCTGATATTGAAAGTTGCTGAAAACTGACTGCTTCACTGAACTCACTGAGAGCTGTAGGTGCTCACCACCTCTCAAAAGCAGACCCTCTAAGCCCTGGTCTACACTAGGACTTTAGGTCGAATTTAGCAGCGTTAAATCAATGTAAACCTGCACCCGTCCATACAATGAAGCCCTTTATTTCGACTTAAAGGGCTCTTAAAATCGATTTCCTTACTCCACCCCTGACAAGTGGATTAGCGCTTAAATCGACGTTGCCGGCTCGAATTTGGGGTACTGTGGACACAATTCGATGGTATTGGCCTCCGGGAGCTATCCCAGAGTGCTCCATTATGACCGCTCTGGACAGCACTCTCAACTCAGATGCACTGGCCAGGTAGACAGGAAAAGAACCGCGAACTTTTGAATCTCATTTCCTGTTTGGCCAGCGTGGCAAGCTGCAGGTGACCATGCAGAGCTCATCAGCACAGGTGACCATGATGGAGTCCCAGAATCGCAAAAGAGCTCCAGCATGGACCGAACGGGAGGTACAGGATCTGATCGCTGTTTGGGGAGAGGAATCCGTGCTATCAGAACTCCGTTCCAGTTTTCGAAATGCCAAAACCTTTGTGAAAATCTCCCAGGGCATGAAGGACAGAGGCCATAACAGGGACCCGAAGCAGTGCCGCGTGAAACTGAAGGAGCTGAGGCAAGCCTACCAGAAAACCAGAGAGGCGAACAGCCGCTCTGGGTCAGAGCCCCAAACATGCCGCTTCTATGATGAGCTGCATGCCATTTTAGGGGGTTCAGCCACCACTACCCCAGCCGTGTTGTTTGACTCCTTCAATGGAGATGGAGGCAATACGGAAGCAGGTTTTGGGGACGAAGAAGATGATGATGATGAGGAGGTTGTAGATAGCTCACAGCAAGCAAGCGGAGAAACCGGTTTTCCCGACAGCCAGGAACTGTTTCTCACCCTAGACCTGGAGCCAGTACCCCCAGAACCCACCCAAGGCTGCCTCCTGGACCCAGCAGGCGGAGAAGGGACCTCTGGTGAGCGTACCTTTTAAAATACTATACATGGTTTAAAAGCAAGCATGTGAAAGGATTACTTTGCCCTGGCATTTGCGGTTCTCCTAGATGTAGTCCTAAAGCCTTTGCAAAAGGTTTCTGGGGAGGGCAGCCTTATTGCGTTCTTCATGGTAGGACACTTTACCACTCCAGGCCAGTAACACGTACTCGGGAAACATTGTAGAACACAGCATTGCAGTGTATGTTTGCTGGCATTCAAACAACATCCGTTCTTTATCTCTCTGTGTTATCCTCAGGAGAGTGAGATATAATTCATGGTCACCTGGTTGAAATAGAGTGCTTTTCTTCAGGGGACACTCAGAGGAGCCCATTCCTGCTGGGCTGTTTGCCTGTGGCTAAACAGAAATGTTCCCCGCTGTTAGCCACAGGGAGGGGGGAAGGTTGAGGGGGTAGTCACGCAGTGGGAGGAGGCAAAATGCGACCTTGTAACGAAAGCACATGTGCTATGTATGTAATGTTAACAGCAAGGTTTACCTTGAAAGAGTGTAGCCACTGTTTTATAAAATGTGTCTTTTTAAATACCGCTGTCCCTTTTTTTTTCTCCACCAGCTGCATGTGTTTCAATGATCACAGGATCTTCTCCTTCCCAGAGGCTAGTGAAGCTTAGAAAGAAAAAAAAACGCACTCGCGATGAAATGTTCTCCGAGCTCATGCTGTCCTCGCACACTGACAGAGCACAGACGAATGCGTGGAGGCAAATAATGTCAGAGTGCAGGAAAGCACAAAATGACCGGGAGGAGAGGTGGCGGGCTGAAGAGAGTAAGTGGCGGGCTGAAGACAGGGCTGAAGCTCAAATGTGGCGGCAGCGTGATGAGAGGAGGCAGGATTCAATGCTGAGGCTGCTGCAGGACCAAACCAGTATGCTCCAGTGTATGGTTGAGCTGCAGCAAAGGCAGCTGGAGCACAGACTGTCACTGCTGCCCCTCTGTAACCAACCGCCCTCCTCCCCAAGTTCCATAGCCTCCACACCCAGACGCCCAAGAACGCGGTGGGGGGGCCTCCGGCCAACCAGCCACTCCACCACAGAGGATTGCCCAAAAAAAAGAAGGCTGTCATTCAATAAATTTTAAAGTTGTAAACTTTTAAAGTGCTGTGCTTAAAGTGCTGTGTGGCATTTTCCTTCCCTCCTCCACCACCCCTCCTGGGCTACCTTGGTAGTCATCCCCCTATTTGTGTGATGAATGAATAAAGAATGCATGAATGTGAAGCAACAGTGACTTTATTGCCTCTGCAAGCGGTGATTGAAGGGAGGAGGGGTGGGTGGTTAGCTTACAGGGAGGTAGAGTGAACCAAGGGGCGTGGGTTTCATCAAGGAGAAACAAACAGAACTTTCACACCGTAGCCTGGCCAGTCATGAAACTGGTTTTCAAAGCTTCTCTGATGCGTACCGCGCCCTCCTGTGCTCTTCTAACCGCCCTGGTGTCTGGCTGCGCGTAACCAGCAGCCAGGCGATTTGCCTCAACCTCCCACCCCGCCATAAACGTCTCCCCCTTACTCTCACAGATATTGTGGAGCACACAGCAAGCAGTAATAACAGTGGGAATATTGGTTTCGCTGAGGTCTAAGCGAGTCAGTAAACTGCGCCAGCGCGCCTTTAAACGTCCAAATGCACAGTCTACCACCATTCTGCACTTGCTCAGCCTGTAGTTGAACAGCTCCTGACTACTGTCCAGGCTGCCTGTGTACGGCTTCATGAGCCATGGCATTAAGGGGTAGGCTGGGTCCCCATGGACAACTATAGGCATTTCAACATCCCCAACAGTTATTTTCTGGTCTGGGAATAAAGTCCCTTCCTGCAGCTTTTGAAACAGACCAGAGTTCCTGAAGATGCGAGCATCATGCACCTTTCCCGGCCATCCCACGTTGATGTTGGTGAAACGTCCCTTGTGATCCACCAGAGCTTGCAGCACTATCGAAAAGTACCCCTTGCGGTTTATGTACTCGGCGGCTTGGTGCTCCGGTGCCAAGATAGGGATATGGGTTCCGTCTATAGCCCCACCACAGTTAGGGAATCCCATTGCAGCAAAGCCATCCACTATGACCTGCACATTTCCCAGGGTAACTACCCTTGATATCAGCAGATCTTTCATTGCGTGGGCTACTTGCATCCCAGCAGCCCCCACAGTAGATTTGCCCACTCCAAACTGATTCCCAACTGACCGGTAGCTGTCTGGTGTTGCAAGCTTCCACAGGGCTATCGCCACTCGCTTCTCAACTGTGAGGGCTGCTCTCATCTTGGTATTCATGCGCCTCAGGGCAGGGGAAAGCAAGTCACAAAGTTCCATGAAAGTGCCCTTACACATGCGAAAGTTTCGCAGCCACTGGGAATCGTCCCAGACCTGCAACACTATGCGGTCCCACCAGTCTGTGCTTGTTTCCCGAGCCCAGAATCGGCGTTCCACAGCATGAACCTGCCCCATTAGCACCATGATGCATGCATTGGCAGGGCCCATGCTTTCAGAGAAATCTGTGTCCATGTCCTGATCACTCACGTGACCGCGCTGACGTCGCCTCCTCGCCCGGTATCACTTTGCCAGGTTCTGGTGCTGCATATACTGCTGGATAATGCGTGTGGTGTTTAATGTGCTCCTAATTGCCAAAGTGAGCTGAGCGGCCTCCATGCTTGCCTTGGTATGGCGTCCGCACAGAAAAAAGGCGCGGAACGATTGTCTGCCGTTGCTCTGACGGAGGGAGGGGCGACTGACGACACGGCTTACAGGGTTGGCTTCAGGGAGCTAAAATCAACAAAGGGGGTGTCTTTACATCAAGGAGTATTTCAGGCAGGACTTCACGGAGGGTTCCAATAAGAAATGGTGCACCTAAGTTATCGTTCTTATTGGAACAAGGAGGTTAGCCTGACCTCTGATTGATACATGGCTAGATTTACCTCGCTGCACCTTCTCTGTGAGTGACTGCAGTGTGACCTAGAGGAATGAGTCCCCTAGACAGGGGAGGAGGCAAATGAGTACAAAACAAATCTGGTCTACTTCTTGTTTTGACCCACTCCATCTATCTTTTACATCTTTGGCTGGCAGCAGACGGTGCAGAAGGACTGCATGCCATCCACATCTCATGGCTGCTCGGCAGAAGATGGTACAGTACGACTGCTAGCCATCCTCATCTCTTGCCTGCCTGGCAGAAGATGGTACAATACGACTACTAGCAATCCTCATCTCTTGCCTGCCTGGCAGAAGATGGTACAGTACGACTGCTAGCAGTCCGTATCGCCTGCCCGCTCACCATAAGACGGTTCAATAGGACTGACTGCAGGACTAAAGAGAATGACCTGGTCAAGTCACTCCAAATTTAGTCCCTGCGCCCATGTCTGCCCAGGCGCTCCCAGCCGACGTGGCCAGGAGCACCTCGGACACGACGAGGACGACTACCAGTCGTATTGCACCGTCTGCTGCCAGAAGGCAATGGGTTGCTGCTACTGTGCAGCAAAGCCGTACCGCGTCTGCCAGCACCCAGGAGACATAGGGTGACGGTTACCTGAGCGGGCTCCATGCTTGCCGTGGTATGGCGTCTGCACAGGTAACTCAGGAAAAAAGGCGCGATTGTCTGCCCTTGCTTTCACGGAGGGAGGGAGGGAACGGGGGCCTGACGATACGTACCCAGAACCACCCGCGACAATGTTTTAGCCCCATCAGAGTGCTCCATTGTGACTGCTCTGGACAGCACTCTCAGATGCCTGATTGTTTGCCGTTGCTCTGACGCCGGGAGGGGCGCTTACAGGGTTGGCTTCAGGGAGCTAAAATCAACAAAGGGGGTGTCTTTACATCAAGGAGTATTTCAGGCAGGACTTCACGGAGGGTTCCAATAAGAAATGGTGCACCTAAGTTATCGTTCTTATTGGAACAAGGAGGTTAGCCTGACCTCTGATTGATACATGGCTAGATTTACCTCGCTGCACCTTCTCTGTGAGTGACTGCAGTGTGACCTAGAGGAATGAGTCCCCTAGACAGGGGAGGAGGCAAATGAGTACAAAACAAATCTGGTCTACTTCTTGTTTTGACCCACTCCATCTATCTTTTACATCTTTGGCTGGCAGCAGACGGTGCAGAAGGACTGCATGCCATCCACATCTCATGGCTGCTCGGCAGAAGATGGTACAGTACGACTGCTAGCAGTCCGTATCGCCTGCCCGCTCACCATAAGACGGTTCAATAGGACTGACTGCAGGACTAAAGTCACTCCAAATTTAGTCCCTGCACCCATGTCTGCCCAGGCGCTCCCAGCCGACGTGGCCAGGAGCACCTCGGACATGACGATGACGGCTACCAGTCATATTGCACCGTCTGCTGCCACAAGGCAAGGGGTTGCTGCTACTGTGTAGCAATGCCGTACCGCGTCTGCCAGCACCCAGGAGACATAGGGTGACGGTTACCTGAGCGGGCTCCATGCTTGCCGTGGTATGGCGTCTGCACAGGTAACTCAGGAAAAAAGGCGCGAAATGATTGTCTGCCCTTGCTTTCACGGAGGGAGGGAGGGAACGGGGGCCTGACGATATGTACCCAGAACCACCCGCGACAATGTTTTAGCCCCATCAGGCATTGGGATCTCAACCCAGAATTCCAATGGGCAGCGGAGACTGCGGGAACTGTGGGATAGCTATCCACAGTGCAATGCTCCGGAAGTCGACTCTAGCCTCGGTACTGTGGAAGCACTCCGCCGAGTTAATGCACTTAATGCACTTAGAGCATTTTCTGTGGGGACACACACACTCGAATATATAAAACCGATTTCTAAAAAACCGACTTCTATAAATTCGACCTTATTCCGTAGTGTAGACATACCCTAAGACTATGTTGCTCTTCTGGGGGGACTTGGGGTAAGAAAGAAACTATGTTTCACGTCAGTCCTGTTTGCTTACTGTACACCCCTGTTTTGTAAGTCTGAAGTTAAGAAGTTTTTGATTTTCTAGCATCTAATTCATCAAAGTTTTATTGTGGACTAGGACCTACAAGCCTTTGGGAAGAATTTTTTTTTAAAGGAGAGGCCAGGACAGGGAGAAGGTGGAAGCATGGCAGACTAGGTAAAGGGGATCCAGTCAATCACAAGATCAGGGCCTCAGAAGACAAGTGAAATATGAAAGACTGGCAGAGAAGAATACAGTCAAGTATACACATACTCGTGACAATGTGTGGACACAAAGGGTAATGAGGATAAGTCATATGGCTTGGGCAGAGCAAAAAGGGTAGTATCAAGAGGTGAAAGCAGAGAATTAAGCAGCAGCTAAATTGTGCAGGGCCTTGAAGACCTTAAATTTGAGGCAAACAGTGAAGAGGAAGTCTATGACGGTATTTGCAGAGTGGATGGACATGATCCAAGCAGCAGGAAAGGTAGAAGAGTTTTGCAGCAGAATTACGTTGCAGAGTACAATCTGCCAGGAGCCTCTACCTCTACCTCTTCCCTCTCCCGCCCCCCGCCCCCCACCCAGGCACTCTCTCTTCTGCCCAGAACTTTTGAACTCCATTTTCAGTACTGGCAGTCCTGTTAAATAATAACAACATCACCTTCCCTCGCTTTCTCCTTTGTAAAGAAAAGAGGTGTATTGAAAAAAAAATCACAACCTTAATTCATGGCATCTATTAGCATTTGCACCCAAAGCATAACAAAGCACTTGATTCTTCCTTTCAGTTGCTTATCTGGAATTTATTACCAATTATGACTGCTGCTGGGAAGTGAAATAAGCAGCTAATTTAACTGCGATAATGCTTTCATCAGCTGTACTAGCATCTCTGCCCTTGCACTTTCGACACTATTAAAAATCACAGCTGCAGTTAAATCAATTGAAGCCATCTGCTCATAAGCCTAGTCTCAGCTTCCTATTGGTGAAGCCGAAACTCAATTAGCATTGCAGCTTCTGTTTGAATTTATCTTCCAATGGCTGAATACACTAGTTCTATTTTTTTCATATAAATTATGGTAAATTGTCAAAATGTCAACATGACACAAACATCTAATACAAATCTCCAGAGCCAATATTTTCGCCTCGAAACAAGAGGAAACTATGCCAGAGCTGACCAGTGGCCGAGTGATACTGCTCCACACTACCATGTGGCAGATATGTACAGTAATATTATTAAGGCTGTCCCTCCAACTTCCAGAAGGCAAACTGAATGATGTGACATCTGCTATGCTGTCCAGCAGAGAATAGTAGTAAACA